TTACTAATACATGTCTCCTTTAAAACTCCTCAAATCCTATATGGAGCTACCTGAGAACTGTTCTCTCTTAAGAGAGAACTGACTAGCTTCCCGTACCAAGGAGCTAAAATCTTAACCAACAAGCTCTCAGGCCCAGCGGTCATCCCATCAGGCAGACCTGTGGCTTTATGTCCACCCAGCGTGGACCCCCCGCAAAGAAGAAGACCTCAAGTTTTCGTCGACGAGAAAATGCGCTCTCTGTCACAGTGTCACTCACTTCAGTGAGTTAGGCCTAGCTATATTTTGTTTTGTCCTTTATGTCTCTTTGGATTGAGAGTTGCGATTTCTTAGAAACGTTCTAGTAACGTAGCCCGAACTGGTAATATCATATCAATAAAGGAAAAACAAGTAAAAATCACAGAAAACGTCAATTATTCTACCTCTACATCATCTACAATGAAAGAGGAGGACTTCAGACCGTTCAGACTTCAGAGTACTGTTAGTAATGGATGAGTACCGTAAAATGGGGTAACTTTGACCACTTTTTTTTCAAAATGATGCCATTTTTTTACTAGATAAATTAAACATAAATTGAAACTTGCAAAATACAGGTCTATACTCTAGCTTTACTCACCATAAATTGCTGGCTCCTCACATAGTTTTGATGTAGGCTAATTTTAAAAAAAGTGATGATCTTTGTTACCCCAGCTCTTGGGGTTTCTTTGACCTGGTGGTAAAATCAATTTTATTTATTGGTAAAATAACTCCAAATAACTCCAGGTTGTGGTGCATTGTAGGGTAAACGCGGTATATTCTGACATCGTAGGTAGGTAATTCCGTCACCTCTCCAGCTTTTCCTTTATATTAAGCTTTGTTTTAGTTCCATGCGTTTGTTGATGGTTGAAATGGTGACGTCATGCATTTGTGCGTCAAACTACTGCCAAAACACGAAGTCTGGGCCATCTAGCGGGAAAATGTTGAGATCCAAAGAGAGACGGTGCATGCCACCCAATGAGATCATCGAAAAATGTGTCAAAGTTGACAGTTGACCTTGCTCTACCAAATAGTGATAAACTGTTTGTGTAGAAAGAATATTATGGTTTGAGACTTTTAAAT